GTACTCGAACGATGACGATGAAGAGGATGGTTATCATGCCGGCGGCTCGACGGAGGCCGGGAAATACGACGACGAGAGCGACATCTATGACGACACTCACGCTCAGCAGCAGAATTACCAGTGAGTCTATCTAAATGTGTGTGTGTGATGGTTGATTTACTTTTGATCGATGGACATGTGTGTATATATAGGACTAATGCAGAAAAAAAAAAAGAAATTAACAGTAAAACCAATTTTTGCAAAATATATATTTTACGACTTTTTGCGCCTGCTTCTATATAAACCCGACTTCAAAACAATCGGATTGCGTCTCAGGGTTGGAAGGTATATATGAGTGCCACTTATGATTGCCTCAGAATTTTAATGAGTTTAACACGTTTATTTTCAAGTGACAAAATATATTCTCCTCGCCTCAGCAATAAAGTTATCGTCTTTTGGCTTACGAAAAAGAGCTTGAGCATAATAAACAGACTCGTGCCACCATCCAATTGTAAGAAGATTCATCCCTTTGACGTTTGATTGATTAGTTAATTCCTTATGTTCACTTTTGTCATTTCCATGTACTGTTACTGTTTATAGAATTATCCGATCAGAAATAAACGTTGAAGGGATATTTTTAAATTTTCTCTCAGCAGATCAATCAACATGTGTTTGTCTTTACCGAATTGGCTATTCCCCCAACATGTGCTATTTATTTTCAGGATGCAGCTCAGGAATTTCTTCAGAGTTCCTTACATGTTACGATTTTTAAAATGCCTAATTGCTTAGAGTCTGAGGTGCAGTATACTGTATTCCTGATCATATACTGCTCAGTGGTGAAGCTGATGTCATCAAAAACCCTTTTTTTTCGCTCGTGATGATCCATCCATTGATGTGCGCTTGAAAATTGATGGAAGAATATCCGTGATTTACTTCCGATTATTCTTCCAACATTCAGATCAGGATATCCGTACGACAACAAGGGCAAGAAGTCGAATTACAAGAAAGGCGTGAGTTCCTATGGAGAACATAAGCACGGTTCCACCACTTACTACCACGGACCCATGAAGCAAGTATTTTCTTGAAATTGAATTCATGTACAGTACGAGGTATTTCTGTTGATGAATTGTTTTTAAAAAGATTGAATAGTCATTCGTTCATGATGCTTCCAAAAAGATAAGAAAAACAGGTATAGTTTGTCTGATCATTTTGGATTATTTCTGAATCGAAATAATTTCCACTGCTGCCAATTAATTTAACAAAGAAGCTCATTTGCTGAGAAATTCATTGACAGTTTGACAACTTGGTTCCCCAATAATTGGGTATATACACTGTGAGTTTTACACACATTATAGGGATTTCTGTAACGTGTCCTTACACCCTTTCAAGACTTTTCCAATGTGTCTCATATAGCAGACATACAGGTGTGTTGCTACATCCTGTACCTGAAATGAAAAAGAATTTTTTTTTAACAATATACCCTATTTACTTGAGTACCAAAAACCCTTGACCTTAAGTAAGGCATGCACAGGGGTTTTTCAGTTGGAAATTTGGCTAAAGTCTTATACCCAAGTAAGACGCGCACCCCAATTTTGAGTGAATCTAAAACCACAAAATTTTGAAAATAAATTCAAAAAATTTGACTTTAGACATGATTTGAACAAAAATCTGATCAATTTTCAACTTTTTCAGTACAAAAAAAAAGATTTCTTGTTACATTTGTTCAAAATTCCTCCATTATAATCAAGTACAATGCTCACATAACTTCCTAAAACTTCTTGAAAAATGTGTACCTGCTTATGATGCGCACCCCTTTTTTTTTCTTCTGAAATTTGAGAAAAAATGTGCACGTGGTACTCAAGTAAATACAGTATAATAAGCATACAGTACATTCAAGTATGTGCAGTGCATTTCATTGCTTTTCTTGAGCTTTACGCAGCAATACTATTCAAAATCACAGCAATACGTTCAGGGACTGCAAGACAGATTGGAACTATGCCACTGAGATTGAAATTTCAAAATTATTATTTTTTACCTTATAACTCCAGCACTGATGGGTTTATGCAATGCATTCCATACAGTACAGATAACACCAAGTGCTTCTGAGATGTTCATGTGCAATTGAGAATAGAAAAAGCCAACATAACCGATAAATTCAAACATAACATGCTATACCCATGCTGCTATGCCCAAGTGTAATTTATGAATCGTTCATGCTTGTATTATTTGCTTGGTTTATTCACATACCAGCTGGCAAATTGAATTCAAATTTGTTTTCGTTGACTTTCAGAAAATGTTATGTTTCTTATTTGCATGCATGTACAGTACTTTATTTTAATTTCCTTCCAAAATTCAACGCAGAGTTTTTGTTTCTTTTTTCTTGCTGCACACGTTGCAGGAATGGCCATGAGCACGTGACGGGCAAGAGTGTAAAATCCAGTGCATGCTCCTGCACCTCTGGTGGAACTTGCCACTGTGGCTCCTCTTGCGCCTGTCGCACCACCAATCAAGGCGCCTGCAGATCCTGCGGTACCAACAGCAGCGGCAGCAACACGGGATGCTCCTGCGGCGGCGGAGGCGGCAGAGGCGCCTCTTCTTCTTCTTCTTCTCATTCTCATCAGCACGATAACCAGCAGGAGTCAGAAGAATATCACTACACCACCAGCAATGAAGAGGAAGAAGAAGAGGATGATGATTGGCATGAACGAGCCAGTGTCCCGCAAGCAGCACCTGTTAAAAGGCCTCGGCCTCCTGCCAGGCCGAGAAATGTAAACAAGAACACCGGTCGAACGTCAGCCGCGGAACTGATCGAAAGCAGCACCAGCAGCGATAATGGCAACACGCCGACGATCAACATCGTCATCTCACCGCAGCAGGCACAGGGCAAAAATGATGAAAATAAGGTTGTTATTAATGACAACCAGCAGAATAGATTGCCCCAGGCGGGCGATAGCAGCGACACCAAGCTGCAGCGCGTGGAAGTGCTCGCCATCAAATCAAACGACGACAAAAACCAGCAGCAGTACGTCATCCTCAAGAATAATAATTAGCAACATCAGGCACATCATTCCATATACACTGTAAATCATGTGTGCAGCAATCATCATCTCGTCATTTTTCTCTCAACCGCGCTTGTCTTGCATTTTACTCATTCACCTGACGGCCGAAATACATTTATCGAAAATTCAATTTACCGTTCATTTTCTCCATTTTTGAAATTCTTTTCACGCGAACAGCAGCGATGCAGGCGTCACTGAAAATCCGTTTACTGTACATCTACAATGAATGACAAAGGTGTTTCTCTTGAAGTTTCCAATCATGATGTGCAGGTGTCACTACCAATCTCTTTTGTGCTCTGAGGTTTTGACAGCATTTTCCAGCAGTGACCTCTTGAAATGATTCAAATTTCATGTTGGTCAAGTTCAAGCCCTCCTATATAAATTAATGAAGAACTATTTGAATCAGTGCTCCCCAACCTATGGTCTGCAGACATGGCGCTGGTCCATGGAAGATTTCTGCTGGTCTGCAGGAAATCTTCTGCAGCATAATGAATTTATCAAAAGAAGCCTTGAAGTCTGTTATCTTTATTCAAAATTTTGTTAAGACAATTCCAGAGTTGAAATTATCTGATGGAAAAATGAAGGTTGGCTATTCTCCCAACTATAACACTTGAGATAAATTTTTGAATGCTGAATTAATTTATTTTAATTTTTCATCCCGTAAAACATTTCTTCAATGTAACCTTTTTAATTTTTGGAATACATTTCCCTGGATAGCCGCTTCATTGGATTTTAAATTTTGACAAAAAATCAGAATGTTTTTAAATACCTGCCATAAAGTCTTTCATGCAAAATATTTTGAGCCTGCAAAAAATGTATGAAACTCTGCAGGTCTGCAGAAAAATTTTGAAGAAATTTGCAGATTGCAAAATTTTTCACAGAAAATTGCTGGTCCAATGTGGCGCAGTCCCAAAAAGGTCAGGGAAAACTGATTCAAATCATCATATTTAAAGTTGCCAATGACTTACACATTCAGGACAAATCAAAGCAGAATATTTGAGACAGGGATTGTATTCAAGATGGAAGCATGTTGAGGACTATTAAAGGCTGGGAACACTTTGAGACTGCTGGGACTATTAGGTTATTTAAATATTTTGAGACAGACTATTTGAGAAAGGAAAATTTTGACTTAGGACTTGATTTCTTATGTTTAAAATCTCCCCCAGCAAAAATTTTGGATTCCCGCCAGGGATAGCTGCTACTTTTACACGTAAAGTGGCCGTTTCTGTTGATGGTAAAACAGTTTTGACTTGGGAGGAGGGCCCTGTTTTCCTGACGCAGTCAGGATGGGGTAAAAAACGTTATTAGTTGACGCTTTTGAAAGCATCAGAGTCTGACGCTTTTAAAAGCGTTTTTAACCCCATCAAAAAACGTTTTTCTGTGACGCTTTTGAAAGTGTCAGAGTCTGATGCTATTTTACCCTGTAAAAAACATTTTTCTGTGATGCTTTTAAAAGCATTGTAATTTTATTAGTAAGCAGACCAGCAACTCTTATTTTGTTATTGGAATTTATATATCCTATATTTAGATTGNTTTTTTATTATACCTGAACGTCAAAAAAATACAGTTTTCAAAGAAAATCCAAGCAGAAAGGATGCTTATGATTTCTAATTCGGAAGAACCAAAAAATATAAATTCATTTTTTTAATTAAACTGCCATGAGAATATTTTACACCATCAGCAATCTGATGTTATTTAAATCTGAATATTAATTAACAAATAATGTAGTTTTAGCAGTTATTTCTACCTCATATAAACTTAAAATTGTCATACAAACAAAAAATTAGATACATTACATGCAGTGAATACTTCCCGAAAAAATATTTCAGGTCCGCAATTACTTTTTAATGGCCCCAAAAAATATCAAAAGACGCCACTCACTAAGCGTCATGTCTGCCCCAGGTTGTTCAAACGCCATTTTGAGCATCACAATCGCAATGCCCGAATTTTGCACACCAGTCTCAATGGAAATCGCAACGATATCCTCCAGCGGGAATTGAAAGAATTTCGCAATTATTGCTCCGAATGCGAATCCGGACCATGTCAAGACCATCGACGCCGTCACCAACTGCAAAAAAAGGAAACAAAGGAAAAGGTTCACTCTAAAAAATGAAAATCAGGTCTTATTGAAATTTTGAAAAGAGGAAAAAAAAGGAAAAAGACCCATCATCATTATCACGAACCTTCCAAGTGATGAGTCTCATGATGTACAAATTAGTGTAGGTTCCGACAGTGAGAATGTAAATGACGAAGATCACGGCCACGGGTCGAAGCAGCTTCGAGCTGAGCACTTTGGCAACCTTGGGTGCGAATCTTTGCAATGCCAATCCGATCCCGCAGGGAATCACGAGACCCACTATCAAAATTGCGATTGTTTGGTAAGGAATGATCACTTGCTCGTCAAACAGGGTTCTTCCCAAGGTGAAGATCCAGGCTGGCATCGTCGCTGAAAAAAACAAAGATCAGATTGAAAATTTTATTTCTTGAATAATTAAAAAGCAAGCAACTCAAAATTCAAGTCACTGAAGGTAAATCGAGCAAAATTTTCAGCCGACGAAAGAAGAAACTAAAGCGTCCCAAACAACTTTTGCGCAGCGGCAGAAAATTCAAACCTTGGAATTCGTTCGCCAAAATTAAAATGTAGTACCTTAAAAATTCTACTAAAATTTTAAAAATCTATAGATTAGCTCAACTCATTTTATTGCTACTTGTGTACGACATAAGGAAACAAAGAGCGCCTAAAATTTAATATAAATCTAAGTGGAATAATGCATGCAAGCATTCAGAAAAATTGAATACACAATTTGTGACGCTGCATGGTTTGATTGATTTCATAAGAATACAAAAAATACAGAGGACTATCCAAGAAACCAACCCAAACTTGAATGATTTGCGAATTTCAGGCACAATAAAAGTTTTTTCAGGACTGAGAGTGAGAGTGACATCTATCTTGAATATCAGAGTTCGTCAATGCATGGACAAATGCATTCAATTCAAATTAATTTGGGTTGCAAATTTCTTGTGGCAAGATTGAACAACATGATACATTATTTCAAAGAAAATCAGTTTGTTTGACATCAATTCAAACTTTATTTTTTGGAAGAGCAGTTCAGAAAAATTAAGTTTGTGGAAATGAACTTTGACTAGATATAGATGAGTACTTTGAAAATAATAATGTATAAAAGAAATATACTGTACTCTACTGAACAGAATTATGATCAGACATGATTGAGGGCGATTTTGAAAGGATGAATTGACCATCACTAACCAAAAGCAGCCAAACTAGAAACGAAGGTCATAGTGATGCTCAAGTTGAGATTTCCTCTGAGCAAAATGGTCCAGAAATTCGAAGCACCACCTCCAGGACAACAGGCTACAACAAACAGGCTGAGCTTCAGGGCTGTTCCATCCATCAGCCAGAGACACAGTCCATAGCCCACCTGTATTTTGTATGAGACAGCATGGTTTGAGAAACCCACAGTCTAGCATGCATACATTATATTTCATCATTTGAGCATTGCCCAACATTCTGGACCCAACTTATTGGCCCAATTTCTCGTTCGCTTCAGCAATATATATGCTGCCAAAAAAACAAACAAAGAATCCCTCACCAGAGGCATGAACAAGTACTGACAGCACAGGCCAACCACTGGCCCCACTGGCCTCCTCATGGTCGCCTTCACCACTGCCCAGTCCAAAGTGCATCCCATGTTGACATACGAGATGGACACCAAGAGCACCACTGATGCCATAAACACTGTGTCCACAACTCGCTGCTGCCTCACCACACTCACAATCAACTCCTCCTCACTCCGCATCACCACCATTTCGTCATCATTTTTCGTCGACACTTGAATGCGGGCATTGGCGTAGCCCAGATTTCGACCTCTCACGGTCACATTCAGCAAACAGGTGTCGAGCGTTCCCGGAATTGAAATAGGTGTCGCTGTTATCACGGTGGCAACCGCAGGATCTGACACGTACGCCGATATGACGTTTGAAGGCGATAAAAAGCAAATGTCGCTGGAGTTGGTAGAATAGATGACATGGCGTTCATCGCCTTCCACTAGCTTGAGTACGGATGAAGGGACGAAGGCAGCGAGCGACACCTGTGTGAGGATGAGTAGTGGGAGCACGGGGGCGACACTCGCGTGCCACGTGCTGAGCCGCATCTCACTGCGCGGAATGAATGGTACAGATATCACATGTTCCAGCAATGACTCGGTAAGAAGGAGAAGCACTTGTTGTCGGCCTGAAGTGAATGACAAGATAAAAAATAACAGTTCTTCATTTCATTCAAACGTGGGGTTCATGCTGTGAAATACTTGATATTTGCAGTGCATACATACACACACACACACACACACACACACACCAAGACTTGATGGATGAAATTTTTTCTTGTTTCCCTCGCAGGACTGTTGAATATGTCACGCTCTTCTATATGCAGGAAAAGCGTATGCAAATAAACAAAAGACTTGTTTACCTCATGCGTCATCCAATAATCAGCACCAACTGCATGGTTCCCTTTCTTGTGCTGATGAAGTTCAATTTTTACTTTCTGCACTTAAAAAATGATCTCATGAATACCATGTTAACATATCATTTTCTGCTTGTTGAAAACCTTGTTATACTTCAAAATTACATTGATCATTAATTTTTAAATCCCTTTTCCCATTCAGTAATGTACTGTAATTCAAGCTGTTTACACTGCCATCTCTATATTAGTGTGCCATCATCAGAAATTGTTAAGTTTAATTGACAATAAATGTGCACATGATTGGATTGTGATGGCAGCTTTGATGAAAGAAAAACAGGTAAAATCCAGTGACTGTACATAAAGAATGCTTATATGACAAATTTTTCATCACAAACATTATTTCCATGGCCCTGGCAAACAACTAAAATACTAAATCAATCCTGTTAGAACAAAATTGTACAACTCACTAACGCAACAAATAGCTTTTTATTCTTTTTTGTCATTCTCACTCATAACTCGTGGGAATGAGAAAATTACCATAGCAACGCTAGCTTTTTGCGGTGAAAAATGTTTCAATGTATTGGACAACCCTGAACGTTAGTTTTTCTTTGCATAAAAAAAACTACGATTTCAAGGTTATTCTATTGCATCAGAAAAATAAAAACAAACACATGTGAGGATTTTAAATTAATTTTTTGCAAAATTTAAAGAATTTTAGGGTTCTGTGATGTAACGTCATTTGACCTGTGCTGTGCGGGTCATCAATTTTCTCAAGTGGCAAATTATCATATTGTATTTGGAAGGAGAGAAATTGAAATGACTTTCCTCGCTTCTATATTTTTGAATTAATTGAGTCTTTCGTCGTGTACCTCGAATAACAAGTGTTCCACACATTATATGGCAATGAGTAAAAATCTAGCAAATTACTGTAAATCACACCGATGAATGTAAGGCACTCCAAGCAAAATAACACTCGCTGCCGAAATTCATTCACGACTGATTTCCCTTTCGCAAGTACATTTCAGTACTTTATACCAAACACTGCGCAGTCATCGGGATGAAAGACCCGAATCCACTATACACAGCTGGGCAACTGGTGCAATGGGAATGCGGGGCGAGGCTGCCGATGAGAGGGAAACCAGCCGAATCGGGGTCGAGCCCGCGAGCCTGTCAGTGAAGGAGTCCCGAAACCCGCCGGGTTCTGATGATGGGGAACCCGGGAGGGGAGGCTTGGCTTTTCCCTCGTCTGCTGCATGGCTCCATTTGGTGTCTTTATTGTTGTTGAAGCTATGGGACGAGGGGAAGAAGGGGAGGAAATTGAGTGAGTGCAGAAAGCATGGGTCACACCCACACTCACTGTAGTGATGACTCCCCTACTGTCTGGGGTCAACTCTCTAAGTCGAATTTCTAGGGACCAGGAAAAAAATTAGACTTGGGGATCTTTTGCTTTTTTTAGGAAAGGAAACAAATATGTTTGCTGCAAGGAAAATGGGAAAGTAGATGTGGACATTCCAGGCCTAAACTTGCTTCTTAATGAGTTTACAGCTCATTGAACTTGTGGGCAGGGGTTCATTTGTTCAATTAGTCCTTCAATTGATTTCAAAATGCATAAAATAATTTGTTTTGTTCATTTTCTCAATCATATTTCAAGGAAATAATGACCAAAAGGCCTCAGAAAATTCAACTTACAGAGGTTTCAGAGAAAACTACTTTGAGTTATGGAGGTTTTTAATACATTGTTTCTATGGGAATCCAGACAGGGACTAGAAAAAAATTTGAGTTAGGGAGGTATTTGACTTAGGGAGGTTCAACTTAGCAAGGTTCACCTGTATATAGAGACATTGCCAACCACAATGACAAACCCAGGCCTGACACACCGGCAAATACCTGCAAACAGGCAGAATAAAACATGCCAGCATTTATAATGTTGCCAAAGGACATCTTGAGCATATATACTGGAAAGCAAGAACTGCCAAAAATACCTGGCTCTGGAAGTCATCCACAATCTACCACCAAAGTACCAAATACTGTAAAATTTCACTCTCCTTCCAGAAGCCAAATTGTTTTTTGCTTTATATGTGTCTCATGGTTCAAAACTTTCGAAAAATTCCATTTTGTGTGCGTCTTTTGTCTGACCTGCTAGGAAACAAAATTGATCTTGAGACTCAAGACTTGTCCACTAATTGACCTAATATTGCAATTACCTTTTATGTACTATGGAAAATTGATAACTTTGCGGGTGTGATGACTTGAGGACCTACAACAACTGCTGCTGATAAAGCCATGAGAGGATGTGAATTTAGAACAGCACTTTCTGCCTTGACTCAATCTACTGAGGCAACAGTGCCAGCTGTCATTTGGTGTTGTGTTTGAGCAGCAGCTGAAATATCACATGCGAAACAGTACATTGCTCTGTGGAATCCAACAGCAGTGCTTTTCTGTTGCAAGTCAGGGATTTTGCTTTTTGCTGGCTATAGTGCTTTTTGGCTTGACCAAAGGTCACTGAAACAGGACTTCAGCAGAGTGACCCAAGCAGCTCATGGGACATTTTTTACGAGCTGTAAGAGAAGAATTAGCAATATCCAGTAGACCCCTCCCAGTTATTCCTCTGGCTGAAGGTTGGGAAAACCCTGCCTTTATTATAAAAAATAATTTTTTTTTTGGCTTGCCCAAAATGTTTTTTGCACAAATGAATATTTCCTGACTTTGGCTACATTTGCCAGTGAAATTGTAAGTGTTACANATGTTAATCTTATTGCTAAGAACGGCGGAAAAAATCCCATCCAGCGAGGAACTTTCATATTTTTCTGCCAAAAATTTCTGCTGAAAGAGAAAAATATTGGACTTCTTCCTATTTTGGCATTGGTTAAAAAATGAGATTGCTTTTTTTTAATTTTCAGTGCTCCTACTGGGCACAACATTTTGCACGAAAAAATCCCAACTTTGCTGCATAGAATGGTTGTGTGAAAAATATAGAGAAAAAACTTTTGTAAAATCCCTGATATGCGTGATTATGATTGCCTCCAGCGGACTGAATCCCCAAGGTTGGGGACACCAGCCACCTTCAGTGCTGCACGAATTCCTCTTGCGTTTTTCCTCGGAGCCTCATGAATCAAAGCTTCATCGTTCGAGGTCCAAAATAAAACGCTTACCATCAAGCATTTAGGCAGGAGTCCTTCATATTTTGCAAGGGGATTCGATTATTGTCGATACAGCAGTGCCCCAAGGATAATAAAATTTTTGAGTTCCTGCTGCCGCTTTTCAGCATTCACAAGGTACAATCAAGATCAAGATTGTTTTTCAAAGCGACTGCCTCAGTGAAATTCCTATTTTCCAAAATTGTTTAGACTTTGATGATCGTATTTTAATACGCTATTGGAAAATCATCAGAATGAAATGTTTATGAAATTAGAGTGAAACAGAACAGAGTTGGCAATTTTTCACTGAGATGCGGTCAAGTTCTTGTCTGTTTCACACAAAAACCTGCCAAATTTTCGCTTTTTCTCCTTCATGTTTTCTCTTGAGAATTCATGGACATCTACTGTTAGATATAGTCCTCTGCCAGGTTCATCAATGCATCTTGATCTGATTTGTAAATTACAAAATTATCCGAATATTTGCTGAAATCAGGTTTTCTATTTTGACGAATCAAAGGAAGACTTATTTTCCCGCTTCGCGAATCTATGTTCTTGGCACAATTACTCAAGCAAAAACCAAGAAAAGAAAACAGCGGAAAAAATATACTTCGAAAACGACTCATTCAACGGATTGAAAAGCTAAAAATGTTTCCCTTTTCTTCATATTCAGTTAAATCTGCAAGGAACAATTCAAGAAGAGAAACTGTTCTGGAAATGCATAAATAAGAGCAAATCGTCAGCAGGAACTCAAAAATTTTATTATCCTTGGGGCACTGCTGTATCGACAATAATCGAATCCCCTTGCAAAATATGAAGGACTCCTGCCTAAATGCTTGATGGTAAACGTTTTATTTTGGACCTCGAACGATGAAGCTTTGATTCATGAGGCTCCGAGGAAAAACGCAAGAGGAATTCGTGCAGCACTGAAGGTGGCTGGTGTCCCCAACCTTGGGGATTCAGTCCGCTGGAGGCAATCATAATCACGCATATCAGGGATTTTACAAAAGTTTTTTCTCTCTATTTTTCACACAACCATTCTATGCAGCAAAGTTGGGATTTTTTCGTGCAAAATGTTGTGCCCAGTAGGAGCACTGAAAATTAAAAAAAAGCAATCTCATTTTTTAACCAATGCCAAAATAGGAAGAAGTCCAATATTTTTCTCTTTCAGCAGAAATTTTTGGCAGAAAAATATGAAAGTTCCTCGCTGGATGGGATTTTTTCCGCCGTTCTTAGCAATAAGATTAACATTCAAGATTTCTCAAAGCAATATTAATAACATACCTGGATTTTTGCAACTTGGACCTTTGCGATTTTGGTGACCGTATGTCAAACCAAAATGTGTCTGCCTTATTTATACATGGACAAATCCTGACTTTGCCACACATGATAGAAACAAACCCATGGTTGTTCAAGGGTTAACTGCTCATGCAAGCTGCCATGACACCATTATAGTGACTTACATTCAAGAAAAATGTCATGTGATAATACATATGCCATTTTTAAATTCAGTACTATTGAGTAAGAAACAGTAAGAGCTTTTTAGCCTAAAATTTGAATAAAAATCTATCCCCAAGAAACTCACTCACTAAACTTTGAGCGACTGGAAAATTTGCAATGATTGACTGTACCTCGAAAATACTGTCAAGTGTACTGTACTAAAGATACAGTATCAACTTTTGACTTGAATTGAACAATTCAATTTATTTTTCATTTTTGCTGAAATGGGTCCA